ATTTTTTTGGGACAAAAAAAAAAAAAAAAAAAGTTAAAGACCAAGAATGGACCTATTGTTATTTCTAGTATTGTTATGTTATTCGGATACATTCTAGTTTTTGCACAAAAAAAACCCACCATTAATGTAGATTGTGTATGAATGCAGTGAGCTTTATATTATTCTTACAGATACTCTACTTATATTGACTTTCAAATAGTGTGGAGTGTGTCAAAGTCAAACATGCTCATATGAATAGCTACACACATGAGCTCGATAACCAGCAGTTTCCATCCTCTTTGGTCAATGAAACAATCACACACACACACACACACTCAGACTCACACACACTCAGACTCACACACACACTCACACACTCAGACACACACACACACACACACACACACACACACACACACACACACACTCACTCACACAACATGTTCACAAAGTGCAACCCCCACGCGACACAAGTGCAGCGCTCGCTACTTAAAATGTTCACTTCCTCTGGCCTGTGACACACAACTGATGCACGACAGCATGAGACATGTTCAGTGTTCACACACTTGTTTCAGTGAACCCTTCTGAGCCACCTAGCTGGACAGCACTGCAGGCATCACAGCTGAGCACTCGTTGTGAGTAGCGCTCTAAACATCCCTTCTGATGGCCACAATCTAAGACAGCACTGCATGTTCACTTCACCGTGAAGGCAAAGCCAGAATGCATTGCAACAAGTGGAAAAAGAGTAACCGATCAAGAAGATGGCTGTTGAAAAGTCACTTCACACAGTTCTCCTAACCAACTTTAGCATGGCAGAGCAGTTAATTTCACATTTAAAATGCACTAAACTACCAAACCTCTTCATATAGTCTCAAATCAACTCATAACACTAGCAAAGGTACAAACATACGTAAAACAGAGGGAGCATCAACAGGAAGCACCATACAATGTTTTCTCTGTTCAATGTCTTCACAAATCAAGAATGAGACTCTCTAGTGTTCAGAATTCACTGCAGTGAAGGTTACACGCTCCATGTTTACATGACATTATTCCTAAATTCACCCTTTTGCATTAAAGGAAATGAAATCGAGAGGCTGAAGTCCGGCTCAGATTGAGAACGAGCTCATTAAAGTCAGGCTGCATTCTGATTGGCTGTCAGTGTTTTTATCGTTCATCTGGTCCGTTATCGGTCCTCTGTGTCGTTATCGTTAGAGTTGTGCTGTGGACTATTTTTATTGTTATAGTTATTGTCTGTGGTGTGAGCAGCTTTAACACCTGTGCAGGTGTGCAGCTACATCTGACTGTTTTGATAGTCTTTCATTGTTTAGATTTGGAATATATTTCAATATGGCATTACTGTACAAATGCAGCAAACTGCTGTCTTATTCAGTTTTCTACTATGTTAAGGCTTAACAATTTAAGTATGTAAAGGTATGCAGAGTTTTGGTGGTTTTTGTGTTTCTGTGTGAGAAATGAATCCAAGTGATTTGAAAGATGCTTTTGTGTCAAAGCAATGATAATTGATCCACAGTTTAGCCAAACAGATGCTGTTGTGCTCATTGAAAAAGTGACCTAAGTATTGAGAAACGGGTCCTAGCCATTGTAAAAAACCTAACCCGTCACTTTACCCCAATACGTGTATGTGCGCCACAAATTGAGATGTTAAACACCAAACTCAAAGTGAGTCGGTCTGCCGTGCAGTACATGCTACTGTGCTGGTAACCAGAGCTCCAGATTCATTCGTCTGCGCTCTTACCTTGAGTTCCAGGCTCTCGGGATCCTCACTGCTCCCCTCGTCCAGGTCGCTGTCTTCATCCTGCGTCGAGTCCCGTTTGTTGCCGGCGGTGACGCATGACTCCGTCTCTGTGGCGATGCTGTCGTTCCTGTCCTCCTCCTCGATGGGGTCCTCATTCGGGAAGCCCTCGCTCTCTGTCCCGCAGGAGGGACTGTCAATCCCGCTGTCCCGATTGGGGATCTTTCCGCTTGCCTCCGTCCCCTCGTGACCCTGCGGCCGCTCCTGCTCATCGTCTCCATGTTTACCGCTCCCTTCACGCCGCTCGCCGTCTAAGTCACTGGGATCATTCTCCAAACCGCTTCTGGAATGTCTTTGATGCTCTTTTTGAAGTTCGTCTGTAATCTCCGCGTCATTGGCAGAGTCCGTCTGGAAGGAGTTTAAGCTGGACAATCTCAAAAGCTCGGAGATTTCACATGCTTTAAATGCAAGTCCATCCTCAGAATCCAGCACTGCTGCCGGCGCCGGGGACTGCATGAGCGGAGGCTGACCGCTGGCATCCGGCTCTCGAGTGGCTGGAGGATCCATGCCGGCTCCCCAATGGAGGTGGTTCCTCCGCTGGAGACCCAGAATCAGAGACCTTACAAGATAAAGGAACAATCAAGGTCTAAAAAATGTTTAGCCTAAGTTTAGCCTCTTGCCAAACGTTTGTAACGTGTGCCCCGTTTACACCAAAAGATGTTTTCAGTGATAGTTGAGCAGTTTACACCTGGTCTTAACATGCATTTAAATGCATCTCCTGTGACCACTGATTTTACTGAGATATTTTCATCACACTCTACAGCACTTTCATGAGAGAGGTGGACGCATACGACTGAATGAATAAAGCCATTGTACTGCTTATGAGTGAGCGGGAAAGTAAGCAAATGGAAACAGTGTTTGGCACAACGCCGTGAAGCTGGAATCGACTGTTTTGTTGTGCTTTCTCAAAACACATCCCATAATGCTCACGTGTGAAGTCAGTGGTTAGCAGGCTTCTTTTTGCGGCTGTTCAAACGCATTCGACCCCTTGAACGTTTACATTACTAAAACAATCCAGTCAATGCATTTCGACTCCCTCTGGAAGTGGTTAAAAGTGGACAAACTCCAAACATTTTAGACCCCGATTGCACCTGCATTTAACATCATCCTTGTGAACGGAACAAAGAAAATGCATCTTAACAGCAGGGGCCGGATGCATAAACTGTCTGCATAAGAAGTTGCTCATCTAATCTTATTTCTTCAAGACTGGTCATAACTTTTAAGTCATGAAAAGGTAGACTGGTCTCATTTGAATCTGAAAAGACTGATTAAAACTTGGCTAACTCCTAGTTAGTCAAACTAGCTCTTAAGGCATAGCCTGACTGTTTATGCAACTGGACCCCGATATAAACACAGGGCATTACAGATAAATAACAATCGGTAACACTTAAGTTAACATTACTTAATGCATTAACTAAAGTATTTCTTTTTAATCTCGAAAACACAAATGTTGTATGTTAGTTCATGTTAGCTCAGGTCCACTAAGATTTTAATAATGTATTAGTAAATGTTGAAATTAACTGAGATTAATAAATGCGTTTAGAAGCATTTTTCATTCTTAGTTCACATTAACGAATAGAGTTAACTACTGTTAACTCAGAGAATCTTATTGTAAAGTGTTACTAAACAAACATACAAGATTTTCATATATTTTTAAATTGAAATGTGAGTAGTTTGACTGTGCAAAACCCGCTGCCACAGTGCCACTGTTGCGCTACACACCCGAGTCTGGCCTTCTTCAGTTTAAGTCTACAGGATTTTATGCCTATTTTATTGTGCACCAGACAGAAATCACAAGCCCACTCGATTAGAAACATAAACGCACACCTCTCTTCAACAAAGCCACATGATCTGAGGCATCATCCGAGCCATAGCACACACCTTATGGACGGCTAGAGGTTTGTTCGAATCCCTCGTCCTCAAAGCATTACCATACACCCGATTAGATCTTACCTGGAGCTGTGGAAGCCCTGGACGAGTCCTGCAGACGGGACTCTGGCTCTCGGAGGGGGGCT